TGGTAAATTAATTATTATTATAATTTATTCTGAATTAATTTACGATTTATATAGCTTAATAATAGAAATTAAATACAGCTACTTTTAGATATTTCAAAATTATACATATGAGATTCCAAAGAGCTGAATATATTGATATAGATTTTCATAGCGGTAATATCTTGCATGAAATTTTAGTATATACGTAACAATGTACATATATACAAATTTATATTTCAAATTTAGAAGTTCTAAGTGTAATAAAAAAAAGATGTTTATGAAGTTATATGTTTAGAGTTTTTGGGTGATGCTGAAGAAAACCAGATTTGAACTTTAGCAATAATCACAGAAAATTCTAATTCAAATTAATCACTATTTTATTTGTATAAAAAAAACATTTAGCTAAACTGAACTAGAGTGTCTGGGGTACTGCAATGACAAAATCTATGCAGAATTCTGCAAGCAAATAAAAATTATTGCCTATTGTGATCAAATTAGAATTTTCTTTTTGTTGTAATTTTGTTTTTATACATCACCGCAGAACTTGTGAATTTAACGATAATGCAGCAGAATTTTTCAGTTAGAGCAGCAGTACTCTAAACTGAACCATTAAAATATCGATATACATTGGCTTCAAAACATACTATGTATATACAAGGTTTTACCTTAAATTCTTATATTATTCATAAAGAATTGTTTTACTGACATACACTAAATTGCAAATGGTATGTATGTATTGTTATTGAAATTTGTTAATGTTAATACTATTCCTATTGTTTTAATGTTGTTTGATTTATTTAGACTGATTGTTCAAGAATTAAACAATCAAATTATAGAATTTATTGTATTAAATGTTTGAGTTTGGAAATGACATTCATTATATACTACTTGTGAATAGTGTTTTATAAGTAACTTTGTGTCTTAATTTGTGATAGTATGTATGTATTTATATTGCATTTAATTATATTTTTCACATGCAAATTTGTTTGAGAGAAAAAAATTTTAGACTTCGGAATTAATTTTGATGTATAAAACTTATATAAAATATGAATTTTTTTCTATTATTCTTCATAAGTTTTTAAAATGTTTAATAGAAAACACTCTGGTAGAAAGCCAAAACATAATCTTACAAACCATATAATTATTACAAACGAGTATGTTAGTCCAGAGAAACCTAGTGATAAATGGTGTTTATGTTATTATTGCAACCAAGTTGAAGAAGAAGTAAAAATTGTAAACAGATGGAGATTAGTATAAAACCATCTTCATAAATGTATAAATTTTTTTAATGAGTTTGGACAAGTCGAAGCAGAAAAGATATTTCAAGAAGCTGAACAAGAATATGAATCTAAAAAAAAAACTAACAAAACACTGAAAAAAAGAAAAAGTACTGAATTACGATCATATGAAGTATATAAAGATTTTAATAATGATAAATTTTATAATAATAATTATTAGTTTAATATATTAATTATATAAGAATAAATTATAATAATAAAACTCTATTAAATTTTATTAAAGTTTTTGAAATTGATTCTAATGATGACAATTATGATTCAGTTTCTATTTATTCAGAATGAACTACTATATCAATGGAATCCAATTTAAGTCAAAATACTAATATGTCACAAATTTCTAATCTAAACAAAATAACACATTATTTATCTCGTACACCTACTTTTAAAGAACAATCTCAATTTGATAAACATATTCTTAATATGACCGTTGAAAATAGTTGGTCATTTGATGGGTAGAAAGCAAGTCTGTTATTTCACATTATAATTGGCTTAATCTAAATCTTATTTTACCTAATCGTAATCAACTTGCTGGTCAAATTTTAAAAGAAGCTGCTGAAATAATGCAAAATACTATAAAAACTAAAGCACAAAAAGATTCAAATGGTATAATGTTAGTATTTGATGAATGGAAAAATGTAGCTAAACAAGAAATTTTAGGATCTATACTTGTTATATCAAAAGGTGAATTGCTAATTTGGAAAGCTAAAGATATTAGTGGTGAACAAAAAAAGTGAGAAAATATAATGCAAACAATAGAAGATTTTTTTAATCTATTTGAAACAGAAAAAATTTAAATTATTAGTCTTGTAACTGATAGTGCTTCTTCATATGCAGCAGCAAAGTATGTTTTATAATTTTTTTTTATCTAAATTTTGATTTATTTATATTTATATTTTTTATTAGACGATGATTACGATTAAAACATATAAATAAGGTTTTTTTGCTTTGTTTTGCTCACCAGCTTAATTTATATATTGGTGAAATTTTTAAAGAATCTCTTGAATTTAATAATGCTTTAAAATCAGCTATTACAGTTGTATCTTTTTTTAACAATACAAATAATTCATATTTTATAAAACAACTTTGTAATGAACAGTATTTGATATATAAAAAATATATTGTACTTGCTAGTCCTGTTGAAACTTGTTGGAATAGCTATTGTTACTGCTTTTCAAGTTTATTAAAAACCAAAGCAGCTTTAAAGGCAAGTTTATTAAAAATTTAATATTTAATATTAATATATTATATATTTATTTTATAATATACTGTAAAAAAATAATAGCAAATTATAATTCTAGATGCTTGTAGCTAAACTCGAATTTTTGTCAACTTCTATACAAATTACTTCAGTATTATCTACAAAAATTTGCGATATTGTTAATAATGAACAATGGTGGATTACTATTAATAATCTTGCAAATCTTTTGTTACCTTATTGTGCTATTTTAAATAAATTACAACAAGACAAAGCACGTTTATTTGAGGTTTTACATAGATTTGCATATTTTATTAAATTTTATAAGGAATATTCTGATCAAGAATTTGCTACTCGAATGATTAATCATTTAGAATTGTGTTGGAAATCTTGGGAGTAACTACTTTTTTTACTTGCTTTTCTTCTTCATCCAGAATATTGTATAGAAATGTTTGATAATAATATTGAAGGATTATATATACAACTTAGTAATTGGGTCTGTTGGTATTATTATGCATGGTTTAAAGTAGAACCAAAATCATTACTTCCTAAGCTTAAAAAATTTCATAAACAGCAAAAACCATTTATTTTACGTATTGCAACTCAATTTGCAAATGATGTTTTAGGTTATTAGAAATTTTACTCTGATTTAGCAAAAGAACTAAGCAAGGTTGCATGTCGAATTTTTTCAATTTGTGTAAATTCTGCATGTGTTGAAAGACTTTTTTCATGTATGGGTTGGTTTCATAATAAATACCATAACTGTTTAAAGGTTTGTCTACATTTATATTTAATTATCATTAATTTTTAACTCTAAAATTACTAATTTTACATATTTATATTAAACTTAAAAAAGTATTACAAATGAGCCAGTTACGCGCTGCAATGAATCATCGCAATAATTTAAAAGCAATTAAAAATTCAATTAAAAAATTTAAAAATAATATTCAACTATTACTATTATCATCTGATAATTCTGAAATATTAACTGATTTTGCACAAATTAATCAAGATGATACAATGATTATTAGTGATTCTGAAGATGAAGAGACACAAGAACAAGAAAAAAATAATAATGCTATGAGCATAGAGGAGTGGAATAAAATAGTATCAAAGTGAACTGCTATGATTAATAATGATGCGCATATACAAAGTGAGGAGTAAGATCAACTAGATTCCAACGAGTTTGATCCTGATGAATATGCAATAATTTCAAACCAAATTGTAAGCAATATAATAACTGACCATCCATTGATTAATAAGGATGCAAAATGGAATCTTGGTAGTTTGTTTAGTCAAAATCTTCCAAAACCACCATATTTTTTAGAATTCGAATAATCAACCCCTTTTTTTTTTTACGTAGAAAAATTCTTTATTTTTTTATTGATGCAACTAAAATATTTTTAGCAAAATCAAGTTGTATCTGAGAAAATATAAATATATAAAATAGAATCTTTATTTGCAACAACTTTCTGTTTTATTATGTTCTAATTTTACTAAAAAACGAATCATTAATTTTAGTAATTTTTTTTAAACTTCCAAACTTTTATATATAATTATATAACAGCAAAGTATTCAATGTAATTTTTTCTAAATTTTACAACAAAACATCGGATATAAATCTTTTTGCCTTTTTTTTTTATTGGTATTGAAGATTTTAAGTATGAACAATAAAGTAATAATTCATTAATACTGGTAACGATTTTGAAGATATATGATTGAAATATTTAAATAATTATCTTTTTTTATTGCTATTCACAAAATGATGTATCTTTGATCAAAGTTTGCAAATTGCAGTTCATACAATTGCACAATCGGGAAACAATCGATCAAAGATACATCATTTTGCAAATAGCAAAAGTTTTTGACCAATAAATGCAACTCTGTGAAAAAAAATATATTTGGGCCTTTATCGTTTGTTAATTGGAATGGTAAATATTCAAATTTGATCAATCCATTCTGGCTATTAATTTTATAATAATAAAATCCAGGATCCAAAAAAAGCTTTTATAAAAAATTTGTAAGAATTTTCCTGAAAGTATAAAATTCAAGATTGTAGATCACGTTGCTGCACCATCACTTTATTTCTGATCAGTTACAATAATAATTTCAATCTAACAAGTATTTTTTTTTACTTATATATTTCTGAATCTTTGAATTATTTGGTGCTATACCATTCTTTATAGACTAACCTGTTTCACTAACTGCCATTTCATCTCATTTTGACAACAAACATTTCACCAACAATTATTTCACTAGCAAGGTTAGTTTGATTTGAGTTAGGATGGATAATTTAAAGTTAGTTTCAACTAATAATTAGAAAATTCCTTATTGCAGTGAATTACTGTGGAGAACGCAAACGCTAGTTGAAATATACAATAGAATTAAAGTTAAAAAGGATGAACATTATTACCAAACAAATCAGCAGAGATTGGGGATGCTGGTTGGAACATATAATATTAGACATTATTATCGAAACGAAATTTGAGTTGAAAGGGTGAACACAAGGCATTCTATTTATTATCAAAAAATCAGCGAAGATAAGGAATGCCAGTGAAACATATATTGTTGAATATTATTGTCGAAATGGAATTGGAGTTGAAAGGGTAAACACAAGGCATTCCATTTATTATCAAAAAATCAGCAAAGATAAGGAATGCCAGTGGAACATATATTGTTGGATATTATTATCGAAACGGAATTGGAGTTGAAAGGGTGAATACAAGGCATTCCATTTATTATCAAAAATCAGCGAAGATAAGGAACGCCAGTGGAACATATATTGTTGGATATTATTATTGAAATGAAATTGGAGTTTAAAAGGTAAATACAAGGCATTTCATTTATTATCAAAAATCAATGGAGATGAGGAACACCAGTGGAATATATAATGTTGGTTCGAAATGGAATTGGAGTTAGAAGGACGAACACAAAGTATTCAAGTTATTACCAAAAAAAATCAGCAAAAATAGGAAAAGCTGGTTTGAATATTGTTATCGAAACAGAATTGGAGTTGAAAGAGTGAACACAAAGCATTCCATTTATTAGCAGAGATAAGGAATACCAGTAGAACATATTATGTATATCACCATATAGATGACCCAGGTATATTGTATTAGAAACCTATACTATTCTCAAGAATACATTGCAGAAAAAAGAAGTATGATAACCGGAAAACTTTCGCTTGTCTGTATAACTTAGATCTAAGTTACTGGCTTAATAGAACTGGGTTTTTTATATTCCTAACCCTGGTATAAATCGGCTCTTTTATATAGTAATTTACATGTTTAAAGAAAGTTGTACAAGAAAGTAGTAAGAATTGATACCATAATACATTATGTATGAGAACATCAAAGGCACCAGAATGTTTCTTAAACTAAAATAGAAAACTGATATATAGTATAATCTAAGAGTTGACTGTATTATAATTTTGTAATTTTTACATCATCTAATAAAACTGAATAATTTATTATTTCATTTTATTTTTATTTATTTTTATTTTGTTGAAATCGCTACATCAAGTATAGCTACATTTAAAACCTAATTGATGAAAAAAAGAATAAAAATTTTGACAAACATAGTCGCTCATCCTTTCAGCAATAGCCAACTTGAAATGTCCCATAAGAATAATCCATCTCAGCAAATTTTTGATAATAAACAAATACCTCACAATAAAATAGAATGTGATATTTGATATTCAGAATTAGATAAAATACAAATACATACGTACCAATCTCGTAATGCGAAAACTCTTCACGCTATTATCTATAAATGCCCTTTAATTATCTTTTTTTAATTTCAATCCCTTCTTGATAACAATATTCAATGTTAAATAACTCATATGTATTCTACATATCAGCCGATTTTTGATAGTCTTCAAACACCCTACATTCGTCCTTTACATTCCAATCTTTCAACATTACATATTCATCAAGATAAGATTAAATTCTGCTCCATCAGCATTACACAAATCAGAAATTTCTGGTAAAAAATAAATGATTCATGTTCATCCTTTCCTACTTCAATTCAAAGAATTATTTATACTCATGCATTTCTTGTCTCGGAGGATTTTTGATAAAGTCAAACGTTCTGACTATATTACCTATTTAAACGGATTTTGATAATAGAAAAATGCGTTACATAATTTCAGTCTCTATTTGATAATAATAAGTAACTTGAGAGTTTCTTTTGTCATCTCTGCTGATATTTGACAATAAATCAATACCTTTCACACACCATTTTAATAATAATAATTCAATGTGCAAACGTTCTATTTGTTTGCTCAAAATGAGTTGATCTGAATAACTCGAATCTGACCCAGTTATAATAAATTATTATATGAACACGATTCATGTAATAAATTTATTATAACTGGGTCAGTTTCGAGTCGTTCGGGTCAACTCCATTCGAAGCACTATTCACTAACAGCTATTATATCAGCAGGTTTTGATACCTTACACTCATACTTTTCAACTCCAGTTCTTTAACGATAATAATTTTCAAATACCAGTATGAATGTTTCATTAGCGCTCTCCATCTTAGCAGACTTTTGATTATAGGTCGTATGCCTTACGTTCATCCTTTTTAATACTTCAGCAGGGTTTGATAACAATCAAGTGTTTCACGTTTGTTCTTTTTCACACGATTGTTTGTACACGCCATTAGCCTTGCTTTTTTTTGTACTATAGGAAAGTATAATTGAAACAAGGTGTTTGACATTATAAATCTAAATGCTGCTAATCTTGAGTATTTGCAAACAATTCTCGAATAGCAAATGTACACATTATTTGAATTATAGTTTAAGACTAATTCAGGTTATGATTCGAAACTGTGCCTCTAGATTTTATTTTAGAAAAGTTGGGTTGTAATTTTTAATTTTCGTCGAAAATAGATCCGTAACAAAGATTTGAGCTTTTTTTATATGAAGTACTATCTATTTTTTATTTTTTGACAGTTTGTAATTAGACGAGCATTTGCCATTCCAACATATTTGATCCATTAAATAATTTTTTTTGCTAATTAAATTTACTTCCAGACCTTTTTCAACCAATTGACTAAGGTGCTTAAGAACATTCTATATATATAAATTGAACTGTTTAAATTATATATATTTGTATAAAATCTTGTTTTTATATATAAATATTACTGTTGGCACCCATTGGCTCCATTCAGAAATAATTTCCAATGGAGCAATGGAGCAATGTCAATGGAGTTATACTCCATTCACCCCAATGGACAAATGTGCCAACCCTGGGCATAGGCATTATGAAAATGAAAAAAAGTGGTATTTAAGATCGGCAGAAAATGGTAATTATGGTGGACAATATGAAGTTGAACTATGTTATCGGAATGGCTTTGGAACATCACCTAACCAACAAACAGCTGTTGAGTGGCTGCAAATAGCTAAAAATAATTTTCAAAAGGCGACTGATTATGAAAGGATGGACGATTCTTTAAAAAAATTATTATCTGGCAATAATTTATTAATACCATGGATTTCATTTCATGAATTAGAATTTAAAAGAAAAATTGGCCAAGGTGGGTTTGCAACTGTGTATGTTGCAAATTGGAAACGTATAAGAGCAAACGGTGGTTCTTTAAATCAAATTGTTGCTCTTAAATTATTTCGTGGATCAACAAATAGCTGTGAAGTACTTATAAAAGAGGTAAATATTGATAAATTAAAGTTTATAAATTTAAACATATTAATATTCGACTAATAATGATTGTAATTTTAAAGTTAATGGCGTATTCAAATATTGGATCTAAAAGCCCCACATTTTTACAATGTCATGGAGTATCAAAAGATGAAAGCACAGGTGAATATATTTTAGTTAATATGCGCAAATGGGATCTTTACGTCAAAATCGTTCCAAAGTTGCACAAATGAAATGGAAAAAAAATTAGAGTTGATATCTTATATTGCATTCGACCTTTATTTAATTCATTCGAATAATATTATTCATTGTGATTTACATAGTGGCAATATATTTCAAAATGATTTATATAATGCTTATATCGGAGATTTAGGATTTGCAACATCAATTAATAAAATATTAGGTGAAGGATCAGGGAAAATTTATGGAGCTTTCCCTTATATGGCTCCGGAAGTTTTGCAAGGAAAACCATTCACTAAAGCATCCGATATTTATTCTTTTGGAATGATTATGTGGGTGATTTCTTCAGGAAATACTGTATTTTCAGATTATGAAGGTGATGATTCAAGTTTATATATGGAAATTTTTTTTAAAGGATTACGGCCGAATATTCTTAAAGGTACAGCACACCATTTTGCAGAACTTTTAACAAAGTGTTGGGATGAAGATCCAGAAAAACGA